TGATGGGATGTGGGTCATAAAGCGGGTGCTTTTGCCCAACCCGGGGTTAGTAAAACATTTCCACCTACCTGAGTCTGACAGGAGAACATGAGGAGCTGGAAACATCTGGGAGAAGAGAGAGGAGAGAAACAGGGTGGGTTTTTGGGGGGGTTAGTTGTTTTTTCTTCCCCCCCTCCACCCCAGCGAGGAGTTTTCTACCGGCACTAAGAATAAAATTCTGAACTAAGAATAAACTTCTGATAAAAGCTCAGGGTGTAAAAAATTTGCCAAGGAGGAAGGGAGGTTCTTACATGGAGAGGTTCTGCAGGGTGATGGGCTGCATGGCGCGCGTCGAGGTCCCAAAGCAGGGCAGCGGGGTGGGGTCCAGACAAACCTGCCCCCCCTTCACATCCCCGCCGGGGCAGGGAAAGCCAAGGAGCAGCCCTTCCCCTCCTTCTTGGGGTGACCCCCTCTTTTAAGGAGGAAAAGGGCAAAAAGGGGTGAAACCACCTCCTCGATGAAGCCACGTGCGATGCCAACGTCTCCGGAGCAGCGATGGAGCATGGGGGAGGTAGCCAAGGTCTGGTCGTCTTCTCCTCCTCCTCTTCCTCCTCCTCCTCTTCTTCTTCTTCCAGCCCTGGGGGCTGCACGTCCTACGCCTTGGGGACATCCAGAGCCATCCTGTCCCCTGCGTCCCCACCCCATCAGCCTCCCCTCTTTGGGCTAGTCACCGGGTGGCAGTGGCTAGTGGGGAAGGTGGCCGGAGGGAGGGTAGGGTTGCCCACCGTCGAGCCCCCCCCCTCCATGGAGGCTGCAGCCCCCCCTCTTCCTCTCCAGCGATGGGTGGGTGATGCAGGATGAAGGGTCGGCCTTTAAAAGGTTGTGGGGAGGGGTTGGGGGGGGGACACAGGGTGGGAAGAGGGGCCGAACCTCCCCCCCGGGGGGGGAAGGAGGATGGGACGGGGCGGGAGGAGGGGACAAGGGGAGGCTCAGCCACTCGGGGGGTCCCCAAACCACGAAGCCCCCCCACCTCGGCCAGAGGAAGGAGGGGATGGAGGGATGGGAGATGGAGGGGTTGGGGGGGGGACACAGGGTGGGAAGAGGGGCCGAACCT